CAGACAGACAGACAGACTCACGACGGAGACATCGCCTGACCCCTCATCGACTTGGACTGAGCTTCGCTCAGCGATTATTTTGGCCAAAGGTACATGCATATACAAGTAAAGGGTAAAGTCACAATCCAACGGAGTGTGAGCTGTTCTGTGTTAAAAAAATAAATATGTTTATACAACTTATGACACTAACAATAAATGACACTCGCGACCTTCTAAATCTTTTACAAAGAACTTTTTCGTACAATGCAAAGATTCTGTGCGATCGTAATACATAGGAACTTCCTTGCGCGGTGGACCACTTCGCCATGGCCACAAGTGCAGCAGTCGCACAAGTCTAGCCCAGCGGTCGCCGGTGTTGGCTGAGGAATTTATGAGTGGCCTGTTGCTGTGCCACACACCATCGGTCTCGGGGGGGACTTCCGTCTCAATTAGAAACAATTATTCAGCCCGGGCGACCTGCCTGACAATTAGACCCCCCCCCGTCCTCTCCTAAAACTCTACTTTTTTCCGCCCCGCCGCAGCGGTAATGTGGACGTCACGGTGAGGAAGTGGACGGCTGGGACCGGGCAGGGCGCCCAGGGTGCACCGGGCAGAGAGGAAGATGATTAGGTCACCCGCACGATATGTATTTGGAGAAGACATTTTTAGACAGTCCTGAAGACTCTCCTAGAAGAAATTCCCACCTGCCCTCCTCGCACTTCTGCCACAGGGGTTTTAGCACCCGTTTTGCGTTTCTTTGCATAAGTTTGGATATTTTTTTAATTTTCCTATTGTTGCCTGTGAAATTATCAATCCGAGAAAGAAAGATTTCATACATCTTTCTTCTCAATCTTCAAATTTAGTTCGCTTAACGGGGTGGCCCACGAGAGTCTACGAGAGATGGCCATCAGCAGATGTCTTTCGCGGAGACTCACATGACCACGATCCTCTCACCACGGCTCTCGAGACACACCTGTAACACACCAAAGAGAAAACGTTAGAGTAAATAACGTAGGGCCCCGTGCGTTAACATTATGCACGGGGTAGCTGAGCGAAGTGCATTAAAGTAACAGAAGACGTAAACAATGTAGATCAAAATTAAAACAAATGAGGGTCCGCCTAGTAGGTAGGCAACCGGCTCTCTGCCCCTAGAGTTATTCCAGCGTATTAACTGTGTAATTTAGAATACACTTTTACTCAGTAGTTAAACAACGGATGGATACTTGTTTGTATAATGTCTTTTAACTA